GAGCAGGATGAATCATGAAGGAAGAGAGAAAAAGTGGTGGCAAAGGAGAGTGGCCAAGGACAAGAATCTCTGAGTCCCTTGTCTAGATTTCCCAATATAGATTTTCCATACAGGGTTGGGAAAATTCCCCATCTGAAGTTCCCAAGAGTCACTACCAATGTCTATGAAGTGCCAAAGATCTAATACCACCCATAGGAGCTTCTATGTTCTTTCACTTTCCTGTTGTTTTCTTATATTCCCACCTTGCTCCACTCGCAGAAAATTTGGGTACTCCCACTTAATGAGGCATCTAACTCAACTTTGAAGTGATTGAATAGAGCAACAATGGGAGATATTACAAAAGTGGAGTAAGTTTCTAAATTCATTGCCAGCACACGCACATCCCAGAGATTTCTATGAATTCTGAACAATTCTGTGTTTTAAATGTGTAGATTGGCCCTTGGTATCTGGGATTTTAAATTGGAGTTATATTTTATATTTAATCCATAATATTTTTATTGTTTATATCTGGTACAAGAGAATATGCCATAGATCCTAATACAAACTTGTACAAGACAAAAAAAAGTCATAAATCTTAAATAATCAGACAGATTGGTGGTATACACTGAATTTGCATTTAATGCTGGACCCCCTACCTCTTGTTCTTATTTATGGATAGCATGATGCCATATGTATTATTTGGGAATTTCAGTCTAATAATTTTGGCAGCATATAATGAACTATGTAATTCTGAAAAGTGTACTTCAGGAAGGAAATGTTGCATGAAGGAAGTGTTGCATTCTAAGTTGACACATATTTTGACATTAATGTTTCAAAGAATCTTTGGCAAATGAAACTTTTTCTCAAAACACTGCAATGGAGCTCATAGCCTACTACACAATTTAGATCTTACATTGCAAAACATCTAATTTTTTAATATCCTGCCAGATATTAAGAATATATGTTGAACTACTGTGTGTTCAATAATTTAATCAAGTAATAATATGAAAAGTTCCCCTTAGCCATATAAAGATAAAGAACCCCCTCCCCCCCAACAAAATAGAACCTCCCAGCCTTATAACATTATCATTTACTACTTTTATCACTGCCAAGAGCTATAAGAAAAGCCTTCTTATATAGGAGTCAGACAGTAGGAACAAAGAATCCTTACATAACTCTTAAAAATGAGCAGGCATCAAATATGGTAAGTACATGGGACAATTGAAATCTATGATTTCACAGGCCCATCTAAAAAATAATGGCTATTTCCTACTAGTCATCTAATACTATTAATGATGGCCCGGAATGCCAGAATGTAGCTCAATAAAGAACACTTCATTAGGATTCCAGATAAATATTGCAGGGCTGGCAACAACGTCTTCTGAGAAGCTGTACAGAAATGGAAGTGGGATCAAAGCAATGAATTCCCCATTCAAGACAAGATCCCAGCATTTACTCAAGGACTTGAGGCTTACTGGGCTTTGTTTTAGACAATGGAGGCAGGAAGTCTCAGAGCAAAAATTGGTCAGAGACTCTCGTTTTGAAGGCCAGCAATTCCATGCGACGACCTACTGAGCCAGAATGCTGAGTCCAGTGTCAGAAAATCAATGCAACTTTAAAGGAGTGAGGGAAGGGAAGAAGCATTTTTGCCTAATCAAACCGAGGTTGGGACCAGAATTATTCTCTCTCTCCCTCTCTAAGATAAAGCAGAGAGGAATCTATTACATTTTTTATATTTTCATTTCTTTGCCAGTCATGTGTTAAATTTATGGGTGAAATGAAACTCTTGTATGAAATAACTTTGGGAGCCTACCAAAGAGCTTCCCCTTTATATTCATGGTCTACCTGCAGTAGAAAATAATTGTTTCTCCTCTCTACTCCACAGATCAGTTTGGCACAAACAGTCCTTTTCCCCCTTTTCTCAAGCTGATCAGAAGGGATGAAGATCAGAGCAACTGAGGCAGTCCAAGAGGAAGCATATCCATGTAAACAAAGCACCTCCCTCTCACTGTTAGCTAAACATCTTGCTTTTCTTGTACTCCTCTCTCTTCTAAAGTTTGTGGTACAACTTCAAGTTCTTGTCATCATTTTATCAACTGCCCTTTCTGTTTGTTAGTGCCATACCTGGTATTAATCTTTCTGGAAAGCAAATACGTGAATGGCCCAATGTGATTCTTCGCATGGAACCTATTAGATCCACTTCTGTAAGCCATCCAAACAAGTTTTGCCCATGCAAATGTAACCATACTAATTAAATCTTGCATGCTTGCCATGCTATGGATTTAGTAATTGCTTGGCTTTGGTGATGAGCAAGGTATCATGTGCATAGGAGCGGCTAAATAGAGGTGGTGGTAGCATAAAACAGCTCAGCAAAAAGGGCCAGACTGGACCTAAATAATCCCAATGAAAATTAGAGTGAACCATGCAGCCTGCATATCATGCTCTACATTTTTCTTACTCTATGTATTCTTTTTTCACTAAGAGCTTAGTCAGCCACTGTAGAGGAATATGGAGATAATGTTGAAGTAGATATGCAATACCATTTACACAAACATCAGCTTAGCTCTGAAAGAGAGGAGGTGGTAGGAAAAAAACTCAAGATTGCCCCACCTTGATTCTCTTTGGTATAAGAAGAGAGAAAGAGAAACTCTGCCAGACTTTCAAGATTCTGTTATTATATCCTTTAACAACAGAGTTCAAATGGTTCTTCTGGTGACCTGGCCTGGCCTATCTGAAAGGGTTGACATGAACTGCCAGTTCTATAAGTGGCAATAAAGTAGCCAACTAAACTCTAAAGTGTAGTATTTCTACTGTTTATTTGAAATGCGTCCCTATATAAGCTTACAAGTGGGAGGGGAAACCACTTAGTTATGATGATGGAAGTCTGGAACTGCATGATTTCCCACTCACTTCTCATCTGGAATGATTGCTTCTAGAAGCAGGCAAGTTACAAGTGAAATACTTCATTAATATACAGAAAAGAAAGAATTATCATAAGCTATGCTAACTGGTCTCAGAATCTATTTTGGATAACAGCCTTTTCTTCCAGGTATTTGCAGATGTTTTCTTTTCCACTGAATGTCTACACCACTGCCTTACTTATCTGGATCATAGAACAGGGCCTCTGCTACCGTTCAATACCAAAGCAGAGGAAGTTCTCTCTAACTCACAAATGTTGGTGCATCTAAATCTGCCTTCTGCTGCCTTTCACTTAGGAATGAACAGGAGTCAAAAATCCACGGCTGCCTTGGCCACATCAGACAACTCTATTTCAGCTTCCTACAGTGAGACACAAAGGAGCTTTTTGCCCATCCATCCAAACTTATCCCCTTCTCTTTCCAGACTGCTCATATGCAAAACAGAAGTCTCCTATTAATCCTTGTTTTCTGCTTTGGAGTTTTCTTAACCTTTAGATTTCTCCAGTTTTTTTTTCTCAGACCCTCCAAATTCCTTGCTTCAATCTTTAGCCTATATGACACTTGTTATATAGTTTTTATATTCAATAATGGCAGCCCCCACAAAGATGGTATGGCAGAGGAGTCTACAAATAGAACTTTCCCACTTTTGGATTCCCTGAAGCAGCGTTTCTCAACCTGCACTTGGGAACTTTAAGATGTGTGGACTTCAGCTCCCAGAATTCCCCACCCCACATACCATTGTGGGGGCTGCTTCAGGGAATCCATTTTTGGATTCCCTGAAGCAGTGTTTCTCAACCTTGAGAACTAAGATCTGTGGACTTCAACTCCCAGAATTCCCCAGCCAGCTGCCTGGGGAATACTGGGAGTTGAAGTCCACACATCTTAAAGTTCCCAAGGTTGAGAAACACTGCACTAAAGTAAAGTTCCAATTAAATAGTGGTAGAATATGAAATAAGGATGGACAGTAATTTGGAATCAAAGAAGGAAAGATGCTTCAAATCTAGAGTGGATACACTCTAAAAGATGTACCTTTTTCTGGGTTCCCACAGTAGCCACATTTTTTCTACAGAGAGAAAATATCGTATACTATAAGACATATTTTCAGCAGTGGTCTGGTAATTTAAGCTTTCAGTCATCATCAATATGCTTCCTTTCCTCTAGAATTGCAAGGAATTTCTGATACTGAATTAGTAACTTAATCTCAAGAAGTAACAATTGCATCATACACATACAAATGTACATAGATACTTTAGGACCAATTCTGACCTGGCATCTGAATGTTAAAAATGTAAGGCTCTATTCTTAATCACTTCCTGAAATGGCCATCTGTCCTATTTTTCAGTAGAAAAACATAAAGCATTACCAAATAATTTTTTCCCCCTGTTTTAAAGTATTCTCTATCTGATGAACTCTCCAGCCCAAGACTTGTTTAAAAAATAGATATCACGGGATATAGGGAATGTAGTATTTAGTTCCAAACTTTACCCAAGTAAATACATTTTAAAAAGAGGCATAATAACTCCACATAAAAAATAGCAAGAGTGTAACTTGGCCTCAATTGCTTGGAGTTATGAAAAGAAGTTATGGCTGTGATAATTCATATATTCAACTGCATTATCCGAACAATATTTTTCCTCAAAAAAATTATAAAAACAAAATATTGTCAAATCTTCAAATCTGTCCTTGATGGGTGAAAGCCATCATAGGTTTAAAACAGAACATCCTTTTAAAATGCTCAGAGTTAAAATTGGCAAGTCTAAAGATGTTTTATCAGATGTTTTATCCTGACTAGAGACGTTGGAAATGATCTCAACACATCTGGAGGCATCAGAAGTGACGAGAGAACCCCGTCATGTAGAGGACAAACCTTCTCTGTTGACCAGACCAATGCAATAATAAGATGCTCTTAAGTGGGACATCTGCATATGTTGGAGAGTTTGCATGACTCTCTCTCTGCCCCATGATGTATTAAGGGTGTTGTGCAAGCATGGCCTCCTAGCCCATTCCTTTGTACTTGAGAATACCAAACAGTGGTTGAAGGAATGAAAATCCAGAACCTTTGAACAGGCTTATGCATATTCACAGCTACAGGGATGTACTCACAGCTTTCACAGTGGTTTCCAGTATAGCCAGCCAAGCAGGCGCACTTGTAATCACCAATTTTATCAGTGAGGCAGGTTCCATCATGTAGACAAGGAGATGAAGAACAACCTGAAAATGCATAAGACACCTCAGTTCCTTTTACAGACTGCTTCTGTCTCCTCTTTGCTCTCCCTTACACTCCTTTCTCTCCTTGTGAAAGACATTTATAAAGTGGGTATTCGGGGACATTGATAAAACATATATATCTCTGAAGCTATGAGACAGTGATGTTAAAAATGCTTCTGCCTTACCTGTCCTCTGCCCTAATAATGCTTTTTGTGAATCAAATTTAGTTGCCCAAATGTTTTCAGAAACAAGGTAATGAGATGCAATTGAGAAGATGAGATCATTCTATACTAAAACAACTAATTCTAAAACTGAAGCAGTTCCCATGTGTTTTTTAAGCCAACTGATCTCTGAGTAACATATGTGATTAATTCTGTGTCACAGTTACAACATGATCCTTTATAGTTTTAGGGACCTAGGAATAAAGCAGCAGGGAAGAAGCCAAGGAGAAGAGGAGAACTCTACAACTGCAATTACAGCAAAAGAGCCTACAGAGATCAAATAAAAGTGAAATGTCAAGGAAGAGATCTAGGAACACTGCAAGCTGTCTGAAAATGTTTTTAATGAAGGTGATGTGAGGCCAAAGGGCTCAAAAATGAAATGTGCCAGAGGCGGGGGAAAGAATCCCACATACTAGTAAATATAAAACAATACAGTCTTCACACTTGTTATGTACAATATATAATTACTGCTGTTAGTATTATCCTTATTCTTCAAAGAATGCTTAGCAACAAGGTTAAAAAAAACTTAACAACACTTAGAATTGCCATCTTAGGAAAGCCTTCCCAAAACTCCTAGCCAATACACCAAAGACCATGCTAGCTCTGAGTTCTAGGAGTTGCAATCCCAACACAGCTGGAGGGTACCAGGTTGGGGAAGATGGTCTTGAAAATATCAGAGTTTCCTCTTGGACCACTATACAGGCTTTCAGTACATAAACCTGGTCCTAACAATAAACAAAGAAAGACAGCCAAAGAAATTCTGTTCCTCCGCTTACATTGACCTTCAGCTACTCTCAAGGCTTTTGTACTGGGAAAGATTTCACACAGTGGCAGCTTGTTAAGTTTGTGCTGCTGGAGGTCTCTGTCCCACAGCTCAGGCAAGATCACTCCTCCCCCCGCCCACTTTGCTCATCATGCAGAGCACATCCTTTCTCATCAACAGTTCCAGGGGCCAGGTTAATGCTTTGCAAAGGAGACCGTTTTAAAAGTTTTTCAGTCCAGCTATACTTTAGGCCAGGATGGAGGCACAGCAAAGCCCACAATCAAACTGGAGGCTGCCCTGCATAGATTACCCGAGTGGCACCCACCTTATCTCTCCATAATTGCTGCTAAAAACTGGGGCGGAAATAAAGGGGGGCGGCAGCAGCAGAATACCAAACGGTTCCCACTGAGAAGAAGAATCGAGAGCTATTAATCCCCCCTCGTATGGAATGCATTAGTCCCATGAGGGTGGGAGGCCTTTCTGCAGCATACCCCACATCAAGTACCATTTCATGGAGTCGACTTTTGTTTTTTTATAGACCCTTTAATTAACACAGCCCTCCTTCTAGCAGCTACTGTGATGGTACTGTTTGTACTTTATGTAATAACAAGGGAGGGAAAAATCATGCCCAGCAGATCAAATAGGGACACAATCTAAAGTAGACTGAGCAATGGACTTTGAAGCAGCAGGACAACTTTCAAGACCTTTTCAGCATTCTCAAAGGCCTTCCGGCAGAAAGCCATCTGAGCCTTCCCCCACCTTCACACTGTATCATGTCAACATTTTTTTTTACTACTACTATTATATTATTATTATTATTATTATTATTATTATTATTATTATTACTATTTCTTCTCCATTGCTGTCAATGCCCCAACAAATGAGAATGGGTGGAGAAATCCAGCATTCTGAATTCATTCTTGGGAATGGACTTGAAATGACAATTCACTGGCTTGAATAACAACTCTTGAGCTACCTGATCATTTCAAATAGCAAAGTATGCTTTGAATTCTGCCCTAAGTGTGGGGCTGAGGGCTAAAGTCACTCTTCAATACTTTACTGTGCTATTTTTACATGGAATTCTCTTGTGATTTTTCTCTGTCCAATTTTCATAAAACGAAAGCATTATTTGTGAGAGAAACCAGTTCACCTAGGAGGCCACATAAGAACTATAACTATAGATCAAAGTAGTGTTGCAATGCACATCGTGCTATTCTCTTTTGGGGTAAGCACCATTAGGCAAAGCACAGAAAAGTGTAAGGAATAGCAAGCCAAATAAATTAAGGCATGAGATAAGGGATTGAAAAAGGAACTATGGCTAAATCTATTTTACCCCAAACAACTCACTGCACTTCTTTACTTCTCTTTCCGTATAAACCACCCTGCTTCCACGACTGCATACACTGCCTTTTATTCCTTAAACTTCTCCCATCCTCTGGTTTTTGCATCCATGCTCACTGCTGTTCCCTTTGAACAGGAGGACAATAGCAGCATTCTTTCAATCATCAGGCTCAGACACAATCTTCACACACACATTAAACAAGAAGCACAACCATTCTATAAATTGACTACGTTTTAACATTTCTCCAGTTATACCATCTACCCTACAGTCTGTCCATTTTTCAACATTCTCACATTCCACTCCTTGGCAGATCACTACCATTCCTATAAAAATCTCTAAAACACTTCTTTAAGCATTCACTCACTTGAGTTTCATCCCAAATCATTCCATTACTTTATTTTAATTTCCCTTCATTCTGCTGGAGGCTCCTTGTTTAGCCCTCTTCATCCACTTTCAAAATATTTTATTTCCATCAAAATTGCTCTACTTTTTCTCTGCCTATTGTAACCTTTATTCTTGACAATTGTCTAAGTGTAATTTCTTTGCAACTATATTTTTCTCTATATACACCTTATAGAATCTCTCTCTCATGCTTATTTTTACAGCAATACTTTTTTCTTCTTATTTATTAAATTTGTACACTGCCTGATTTCCAATTACTCTGAGTGATTTACAAGTAAAACACATTTAAAAACAATAAAATAGTGTAAAAATGAAAAAAATAAAATAAAAGATGACAGAACTGGACAGAAGCAAAAACCAGACCCACACAATCTAAAAAGGGACTTCAGTCACCCTCACCAAAGGCCTGGGCAAAGAGCCAGGTCTTCAAGGCCTTTCAAAATACTAGCTGGGTGGGGGCCACCTGGATCTTGAGGGAACCCTCATTCCAGAGAGTAGGCTCTTCTACAGAGAGGTTGTGCTTCTGGAGTCCCAACAGATGGCATAGTTAATCAAAGGGACTTGCAGCATGCCAACCCTGCTGGATAAAATTGGCTGGACAGATGCTATGGGAGAGAGGCAGTCCATCAAGTAACAAGGCACCATGCAGAGCTTTATAGGTAATGACTAGCACCTGGAAGCAAACAGGTAACCAATGCAGCTTGTGAAGCAGGGGGGTGTTACATAGGCATACTAAGGCATACCTGTGCCACTGCATTCTGGACCAGTTGAAACTTGCAGGTGGTCTTCAAGGGGCAGCCCCACGTACTGTACATTGCCTATGTATATTCATCAACTCCACCTAAGATCAGGCCACCATCATCCTGATCTATTACATCTTATCCTTTCTCTTAGTTTCATAGGCACATAACATATCTAGTTTTCTGTCTTTTCATTTATTCATAATTTTTACCATTTACTTCTCTCACATTCACAAGTCACAATGTCCTATATTCCAATACCAGATGGGCTCATAGATATTAACCTCCATTGTCCATTAAGGCTTTGGTTCTTCAAAGCTTTCATACAGCATTTTTGGTAAGACAGAGAAGATGTTGATTAGTCATACCTATGCCATATGCAACATTTCTTTCTAATAGCATGGACAGTACTGGTCAGTTTGGGAACTGGATCAATTTATGATGAGCCCTGCTTGAATATATGTAAAATCTCAACAAATCCAATCTCTTCTCTTAAGGTGCTGTATAGAGCTCCTGTGCATTCTGTTCCTTCTTCAGCAGGGTCTCACTCTGCCTGTGTTCCCTCCATTGATAGGAGCTCTTCCCTCACTTACTTTTGCCTCACTGTAGTGTTGTTCTCTACATTTCAAGTTTGGTAGCAACAATCACAGATCAGTTTCACAGTGCTTTTCAAGGGATGGGGGGCTAGAAGCAGTGGCAGTATGGAAGTGACAATGATAAAGGGGAAGTAGCATTTCAAAGAATCCTGTGTGAGTTCTTAAGACTCCAACTAGGTGTATAGCTTACAAAGGAAAATATAGTGGATAGAACTTTGCTGCTTATTTGTGATTTTTTCCCCCCCAGATTATCCATGTAGAAAGCTATGTAGCTCCCACCCTGATGGGACTTGGTTCTTCTCCCAGGCTTTGGATAGGGTATTGTGGAGCTCTGTTGGTTCTATTTTCTGTTTGAGATAGTGTGTTTGTCTGAACACATGGAATCTTTATTTTTAGTGGTTCTTTTTTATTCTTTCTTACGTTTAATGTAAGCCACTCAGAGTTGCTTCGGGGTTGGGCAGCCTCTAAATTTCATAGATAAATACATTTCATAAATAAATTATGCCGTTCACCCATTGTAATGCTGCTTTTCTACAAATGTATTCTATTCTCTTTTTTCATCTACTTAAAAGTATGGGTAAATCATACATCACAGTCAGCTTAAAGATGACCTCAAAGGCATTTCGTCTGATTGGACAAGAATGCCTATTTGTATGATTAGCTTTACAGAGTTGGTGGGAACTGGGTATAAATAAACCACTAGAAAAAACGGGTTCTTGTAGCAAAATAGACCGTGGATCACAATTCTTACTATTGTAATTAAGGTTTTTTTCATATCAGGACCTCAGTATAAAGCATTTTAATAGTATTAAAAGCTATTCTAATTGAAAAAATTAAAATGAAATTCCATTTCATACTCTTTACCTGTAATTTCTTCAAAAACTGCATGAAATCCATCAAAATTTTTGGAACCATCTGAATGAAAAAGGACATGGAGGGAGGAGCCAGTGCTTCGTATTGGGGAAGGCCTGTCATTGCCACAAAAGCGTTTAATTAATTTGCTGTCAACACTGTCCCCATCACGGACCTCCACATAATCGTACTGGCACATGTAGTCGAACTCTAGACTCAGCATGGCAAACCTTGGCCAGAGAAAAAGAGACAGAGTGAGAGATAGAGGACAAATTCAGATGCCAAAATTATATCTGTGTTATCTGCATTTTAGGACTGAACGTCTACCTTTTTTCTGTGCTCTCCTGCCTCTCAGAGGTTTTCAACCCGCATTTTTGCAAATGACACAAAAACAAAGTTCACACAACACAAACACATGTAGAATTACTTCCCACATTCTTTCAAGTCTATAGGAAACTTCTATAATATGAACAACCCACTTCCAGCTTTCCTCACAATTCCTGACCACAAGAAGACTAATTTTGAGACGGGGGAAGGAGGTGGAGAAACATAGTAGAATATGCCTTGCATGAAGAAGTTTTCAGTTCATTCCTGGAATAAGCTTGCATCAATAAAGATAGCCTGAGAGCCAGTAAGCTGAGAATATATCCAGGTGCATTTATTTGTAATGTTTTTAAGCTGACACAAAAAGACAAAGACAGGCATTTATTTATTTAAAAATTTCGTATTCCATGGTTGATCCTGATGGCTCTGAGGAGGAACCAGTAGAAATTCCTTTGGTGCCAGGTTTGAAATATTAGTCTGATGTCTCAACACACCTTTCTCCTCACATATAAAAAGAAAATTCACTATATTAACATCCTCATCTCCAACCTACCTTAATTCAACAACAAATCCAGGTTTGGCATGTATAATCCACTCACAATGGGCATTCAGTGGATAGCTCTCCAATAAAATCTGACCCTTTGAAGCTTGGAGAACCTGTCCACATCCTAAGGGGAAGGAAAAAAACACATGTAGAAATTTATAGAAAATTTATCTCAGGAACAGTGCCAAAAGACAAGTTATGAGTCATGTACACATGTTAGAAAACCTTATTCTTAGGTACTAATGTAACCTGAGCACCATGTGGTCTTCCCAACCTGAATGCAGCCCCCTAGACATACATGGTATCCTATCAAGAGCCCCAAAACCTCCTATTATTGCCTGCATGGAGTTTTCAAAACTCCAAACTTCAAAAACTCGGCTTGTCCACTATGGCTATTTGAAACTACAGAGAACTTAGTCTATCCTCAAGCTTGTTTCATCTGTGAGGTCCCTGTTCAAACCACAACTTCTGCTCAGTGAGCTCATTATCTTAAAGACAATAACAGTGTTTCTGCTATACTCATCGTGCAAACATGGGCACATTGTAGGTCCTTCCAGATGGAAGGCTCATAAAAAATAAACCATTGTTTTGCTCCTGTGAGCTCTACACAGAATCGCAAGTAATCTTCCACATTTCAGAATCCACAGGTTTTTTGGTGTGTACATCTCAGTCAGTCCTATTCACCAGCCCCATTCAGGCATGGGTAAACTGAAAGTGGGAAAAAAAGGGAGAGGGTATATCTTCTGCCTGTCTCTCTACAGTTTCCATCTGTTCCTCTTGAAGGATTAAACAGGACCTGTACTTTTCTTTACTTGAAAGCAAGTCACTTATCAGTGTAATTCAGAGCCTTGGTTTAACTGAATCTTGGCTCATGCAGAGAACTTTACTTATATTCAAGTCAATTCCTCCTATATAAACATATGGTGGCTGAACAGAGGCAGGAATGGGCTTGCTTGGATAGCCATTTTTTCTACCTAGTTTGAATTCTACATTTGTTCAACCAATGCCCATACAGAGTTATTGTGGGCAAGACACAGCTGATCCCTCTCCTTTTCCTCTCCTCCAGACTGAAGGACCCAATGTTCCCTTTCATCATTTGCACATCGACCACTCAGAGTCGCTGGGAGCTGGGGGACATATAAATTTAATAAATTATTAATATGGTTGGTTGCATAGTCAGCCAGATGTTTAGACTGCATTTGGCATTTTTGTCCACCTATCAAGTCCTTCCCAAGGACCTGAAAAAAAAGATGTTGTTTAATAATATTAAAGGTAACATTGCAGTTAAATTATTAATTATATTTAATTA